GGGCACTGACCCGGTAGGCTACATGCATACAATACTTACAGTACATACATATATGCGTACTTGCATACACACACACACACACACACACACACACACACACACACACACACACACACACACACACACACACACACACACACACACACACACACACATATATATACATACGTGCATGCATGCATACCGTCATACATAAATGCGCACATGTGTACATGTATACATACATACATACATACATACATACATACATACATACATACATATACATATACATACATACATGAACTTACACATATACCCATAGGTATATAGATGAATCGATATAAGTCAATGGATATATCAGTATCTATCTATCTATTTCAAAATCTATCTATCTATCCATTTCAAAATCTATCTATCTATCAATCTATCGATCCATCTATCTATCTATCTATCAATCTATCCATCCATCCATATATCAGTCTAGCTATCAATCTATCTATCAATATATCTATCAGTCTATCTATCAATCAATCTATCTATCAATCTATCTATCTATCTATCCATATATCTATCAATCTATCTATCAATCTATCTATCTATCTATCTATCCATCCATCCATATATCTATCAATCTATCTATCAATCCATCTATCTATCAATCTATCCACATATCATCACCACCACCACCCTCACCACCACCTTCACCACCGCCAATCCCCTTCTCCACCACTACTAACCCCCCCCCCCTCTCCCTCTCTCCCCCCACCAGGCATCATCACATCGTCGGTGCTGAAGACGGCGACGGAGGCGAGGAAGCGGATGCTGGGACCCTTCAGCCCGACGTTCAATGTGGAGAAGTTGCTGCGGGAGGGCCTCCTCAGCGTAAGTCGCGCTCTCTCTCTTTTTGTTTGTTTGTTTTGTTTCTCTGCCTGTCTGAGTCTCTGTCTTTCTCTCTGTCTGTGTCTCTTTCTGTCTCTGTCTCTTTCTGTCTCTGCCTCTTTCTGTCTCTGTCTCTGTCTCTTTCTGTCTCTGTCTCTGTCTCTGTCTCTGTCTCTCTCTCTCTCTCTCTCTCTCTCTCTCTCTCTCTCTCTCTCTCTCTCTCTCTCTCTCTCTCTCTCTCTCTCTCTCTCTCTCTCTCTCTCTCTTCCCCAACATGTTTTCCCCCTATGTTTGGGGCTAGAGTTATTTTTGTTAAATGGCATGTTTATTTGTTCGTACTTTATTAGACATATTTATTGTCATTTACCTTTTATATCCTTTTTCTCCCAATAACAATCATTATTATAATTACCCCACTTTCTATCAATAATGACAAGATTAATGACCACCATCCTCAATTAACACCCTCAAGATGCACATTAAAGTGGTCCAAATACATATAGATATAGATTTTTTGTTCATAGATATTTACGTGTGTGTCATATATAGGCTAATCTTCGAGCGTCAAAGTCGAGTAGAGATTTAGAATTAGGAATTCAAGGACCGGACTTAAGTAGTTGGGAAGCTTTAGAATCTCGGCCGCGTGGGGGTGGAGGGGGGGGGGTGAGGCGGGGAGAGGGGAAAGGGGGGATGAGTAAGAATAGCGTATGCTCGATTACGTAAGTTGGGTATGTATCCGTTGCACACACAGAGGAAAAAAATGTGGACGTGTGTGGTTATTTATGTTTATATATATATATAAATATGTATACAATATATATGCATATGTACGTGTGTGTGTATATGTATATGTATGTATGTATATCTATCTCTTTATGTTTATATTGATATATTTATTTAAAATAAGACATTGCACCACGTACCACCACAAACAAGCAAACAAACAAACAAACAAACCCTCACACTCCCCCCCTCCCCCTCACTCCCCAACACCCCCCCCCCTTCGCCGAAACCGCGTCATCAACACGTCTCGAACATGTTGTCCCTTTCACCCACGTGCGTTTTTCTTTTTTTTTTTCTTTCTTTCTTTCTTCCTTTTTTTTTATCGTCTCCATCATCATCCCTTCCTCCTTCTCCTCCTCCGTCAGGTGCTGCCCGATGACGCCCACAAGATAGTCAGTGGGAAGCTGTTCATCTCCGTGACGCGTGTGAGTGATGGAAAGAATATTTTGCTTTCACACTTCGAGACGAGAGAAGAACTTATTCAGGTGAGATTATATTTCTTTTCTTTGTTGTTTGATGATGTTGTTGTTGTTATTTTTTAAAAGGAGGGTGGGGGATGGTATTATTATTTTCATTATTGTTATTATTATTGCTGTTGTGGGTGATAATGATGATGATGATTGTAATAATTAATGGTAATGATATTGGTGTTTGTTTAATGATTTATATGCAGTATATCAGCTTTTAAAAAGTAATGATTTCCTCACTTTTAAATTGATATATGAATATGGATTTTTGTCATGACGCATTTCAGATAAATATATAATTTATGTGACTTTTGATTCGTTTCATCATTGAGGAAAAAATATATCGTAAATGCATTTCATATATTTTACAAAATATGATGTTATTTTTG